TGTTGCAGTGAATATTATGCACTATTCCATGCGACAACTCAAGCAACAAGGCATAGTGCTGGTATGCATAATCTTCTTTGTATTCTGTAACGCCCAATGACTCTGCAATGGTCATCAGGGCAGCTACTATACGCAATTTCACACCTGGTTGATCACTTTGCGTCTTACCCTTCTGTACATTCATCTTTCTTGCCAGGTCAACAACTTTGACACACCATCTCTCTTTATAATTGATGGGTTTGCTGGTTGCTTGTCTGACAGCTGCTTCAAAAGCCTCTATAGGTTATTTAAAGATAATATCTATCAGAGCACTGTATTCTATTCATTGTTTAAAGGATATTTACCATTGGATTCTGGAAGCATATGGATAGGAAGGAAACCATCATTGTCGTCACTGACAGTCTGCTGTGTCTGTTCATACATCTTAGTCAGAAGGATACGCATCTCGTTGACGCTCTTGACCAAATCAGAGAGGACGGTGAAGATGTTGGCGATATTGTTCATGTTTTATATAGAGTAAAGAAGGTTGTTAATAATAAGTCAAAAGATGGAGGGAATTCCGTACCTTTATATATTGTATTGATTTGGTGTCAATGCTAGGATTCTGATAACCAAATAGATTATTTCTATAATTGGCGAAAATCCGTAAAAATAGATACTGAAATGATTTGTCAATGTCTGTACCTGATTGAAAGTAACCAATAATATTATCGACTTGATTTCCTTAAATCATGTAACACATTCTCTATAAGGCACGTAACCAATACAATCATTGTTATTTGACATGAAATCGTTTCACGGATACATCCATCAGAGAGCATAGCAAACCTATTGGTTCTTCCCTAACATACATTCATGATATTGCCATAACTGCCTAACATAGAGATTAATATCATTACTCTTTATTGGACCATCTCCGTTGTGTTATTACTTCTTATTGGTACATACATGAATCGAGCTATATTCAACGATCGATGTTCATGAATTGATCAAATATCCATAAATGCATAAACATCCGTAGCTCCATATCATCTCACAAGCGAAATGCCAAGTCCTTCAACAATATAAAAGGGGTGTTATTTTCCAACTTGACTTTTCTTCTCTTTATTTCCATATAACCCATACTTACTTTAATATTTACCATGTCTCTCAACTTTAACACCAAGTCCAATTCCAGAACCAGAGTCCCTTACAATGTGGGTAAGAAGTATCAGTGTGAATTCTGTCGTAGTAGCTTCGGAAAGAGCATTGGGCTTACAAGGCATCGCAAAGACACAAAGTGTGGCAAGAACTCGTATAAGTCTCGTACAGCCAGCTCTTCCACTGCAGGCAACGCTGAAGTATCTGTGAATACTACCGAAAACACCTTTGTTGAATCAGAGGACGTTGACATGGGGGAACCTATGGAGTACTGTAAGTAACTAACGCATCAGATTTATATTCATTCATAATAACTCTCCTTTTGATCTGTCTTTAATAGCCTTTGATAACGAAGAGGAATATGAGGATGTTGATCCATGTTTGGTCTTTGATAGTACTGCCAAGGTGTATGAAGCCATGCCGGTCAATGAATCCAGTTTCAACTACATGGAAACAATTAGCGTTTTATTGAATGACTA